TTCATGATATACATTAAGCATCCCAACACACGAGCATAATCCAATTGTGATATGCTTTGGCCGAGGCCGAGGCCGTNTGGTCGAGTACAATTCATGATATACATTAAGCATCCCAACACACGAGCATAATCCAATTGTGATATGCTTTGGCCGAGGCCGAGGCCGTAGTCGAGCGAGCGACGACGACGACGGCGCGAGGCTTGCTTTCTTCTTAACTCTTTAAGAGCTACAAGAAGAGCAATTATATATATACCCACCAAAAATCTTTTCCTCTTCCAATATGGGACAATGTCTCATTATCAAGAGGGAGAAACTTAAAATTTTTTACTCAAAAATTTTATTTTTCCTCCATTTCTCATTCACCCTCATTTTAAGACTATTTCATCTTAAAAACAAAATCTCAACAATTCTAACCGAATTTCTGTGACAACAGAGAGCGAGTTTGGTGATAAAATCGAAACAAGAGAAGATAGCGGGTAAAACCGGGATTATTTCAGCCTTTGCGTTGAGGGAGTCTTTTATGATTTTTTCCCTCCAACTGAAAGCCATCTCCGGCAGACAAAGGAGCATTTTCTACGGTCACCGGAGGTTAAGTACTGAAAAATTCTGGCTAAACATTTATTGGGGAGAACGTCAGTGAAATCTCGATGTTTATAGGGCTCTAAAATCGGGCTGTGAGTAGAGGAAGATTGGTCCATTCAGACTGTAAAAAAGTTTTTGAAAAAATGACGTTGAATTGTGCCAACAGAATTTTTAACAACACAGTGGAGAATATATAGAGATTAGAGTGGATATATTGCGGAGGTGATAATTAATTCTAATGGAACTTTTTTGAAATGAGATGGAAAATTGGACAGGTTTAATATTGAGGAGGAAGAGTGGCCTCTAGGCCTTTTTGGGGTTCTTAGTAATCTTGGGTTAAAAAATTAATTTTTTTGTGCTATTGATTTTTCATAGAAACAAAGGTTTTGGCTAATCATGTCAGATAACATGTCTTTTGAATTTGGGTTTTTTAATGTGCCTAGTTGGCAGTCAAATAGAAGGGTCCCGGTGCCACATTAGATCTCTGTTAGGGTTAGGGGCGATTTTGTCTACTTTCTTAACGGTAGGGACATCTTTGGACGAATAGTAGAATTAGGCACAAACATAAATAATTTACTAAAGTAAAGGGATAAATCTGGCCCTTTTCCCTATACTAAATGAACTCTCTCTTTCTCTCTCTCTATATATATATCTAAATGGTAGCAGTAATCTAAGAGAGTACTAAGTTTTTGAAATTTTTCATAAGATTGTTAAGAAGGGAATTGTTGATTTGGTTATTTAAGGAAGGATAATTATTTCTGGTTTTATACAAGAATTAAAGAGTGTGAAATATTAGGAAAAAAATGAAACAAGAAAAAAAAAATGTATTCTGGATACAACTTATATTATATTTTGTTAAATATTTAAATGTCTAACTTTTATTTTTAATATCAGACTATGTGTGGGAGAGGGGGGATGAGAGGGAGGTATAACTAAGATTATTTAAAAAGTGATTTTTGACTTTTAGTATATAGTACAAAATATAATATACGAAAAAATTGATCAAGAAAGAAAATGACTTAATTAGTAAGAGGAGAAAGGGGAATTGACTTAGATTATTTAAGGAAGGATATCGATTTTTTTATTTTAGTGGAGGAATTGAATGATATGAGTATGAGAAAAAAGGAAGAACAAAAATAAAAAAGGAAAAAATGGTGGAAAAAAAAAAAACTGAAGACAGGTGGGAACGGGTAGATAATGTTGGAATGAATTAAAAAAATATAAGGTAGGTATACATGGAGATAATTATCAAAATAAAAAACGATAGAAAAAAAATTAAAAAACCAAAGGATAGATTATCAACAAGAAAAATGACAAAAACGGGAGATGGGGAATTCAAAAATGTTATCGGAGAAAAAACAAATCAAAATGTCAAGGTAATGGGAAGTAGTAAATGATAAACTATTTTTTGCATTGGTATTTCGAGACTTATAAAAAAAAAAATTCTTTTTATAAAGGTAAAGAAAAGTAAAATATTACTTGAATATAGATCTATTAAATTCTTAAATTGTGAAAATAGAAGTATTTTACTTAAACGTATCAACTAGAAATTTTTAGAAAATAGTTGAGATGGAAGTACAAAATTAAGTGTCTACTATCGACAACTCTTTTAATATTTCGGTATTAAAAAAAATATCATATCGTTAATTTAACCATGCGAAGCGCGAACATATTTACTAGTTGAAATATAAAGCTAAACATAAGTACTTCTGATGCTATCCCCTTCTCCAACAGAGTTGTTAGTCATTCCCTTATCCATTAAGTATCCTTCCTTCCTTATGTGATGTATACACCAAATCAATAAACGTAAATATTTATTTTTTATATAAGTATTTATCATAAATTCTTACCGGAATATACATGAAGCTTAAAAGAAAAGTAACTTAGTTGTTATAGTATGTACAATATTACCAGAAGAGTAATTATTGTAATAGATTAGTTATAATTATCTAACAAGTAATTTAATTGTATAAATATTTTTTCTATTGTCAAGACATAAAACCCAAAACTCTAATAATTAATGTATGTAATTACTTTTAAAGTAACTTAATTATATGGAGTAATTCTTTTACTGGAACTTAAACTCTCTCTCTTTTTCCTTTCTGATTTCAATTGTTGACCAAAATTAGAAAGAAAGAGTCCCCGTTTTACCCCGTCAAACGCGTGCGGCAAAATTGAACCGTAAGGGACTAGGAAAGCATTATGGGAAGCAACACTACTCTTTCTATCTCCTTTCTCTCCCCCTTCCTCTAACTTCTCCTATATATATACACAGCCACCTCTCCATTCTCCATTCCAACCTTCTACTACTTTAATTTCCTTCTTCCAAGTTACACATAGAAGTTCATAAGCTTCTTACTATTTTCCTTAACACAATGAAGCCATTGTCGCGGGCATTAGAAATCACGGTGATATCCGGGGAGAATCTCCGAGAGAGCCGGACGCAATGGGTGAAGAAGAACGTTTTCGTAAATATCAAAACAGAGTCGAGCAGCAACATTCAAACAACAAGGATGGATAAAGAAGGTGGAAGTTTTCCTGTGTGGAACGAGAAATTGATCGTTGATATGCCCATGCATGCTCGTTATCTGACGGTGGAGGTTCAATGCAAGACTTCTTCAGGTATCAAAACAATTGGAATTGCAAGAGTTCCGACGTCGGATTTCATTGGTGGATACTTGCCGGAAAATTATCTGCACTTGTTGAGTTATAGGCTTAGGGATGAAAAGGGTGAGAAGAACGGGATTATCAATTTCTCCGTCAAGGTCAAGAATGTACAGCCGTACAGTAGTACCGGTTGCGCCACTGCTTATTCGCAGCAGTGGACGGCAGCTCCGGTGGCTATGGGAAGTAATGCTTCTGGTGGGGTTGTGACGGGTATTCCCGTTTATCCTAGTAGTTACAATTAGGTTTAATTTGTATCGATCGGAGAACTTTAATTCTTTCTTTTATTTCTTTTAATTGGTCGAATTTGAATTTGTATATATATACATGTTTTAGATGAATTTGATTTCCAAGATAGGATGCAAATATTTTTTTTATGGAAAGAATAATTTGATTACGAATAATTATGGCATATATTGTTTACATGTCGTATAATCCTAATGATCAAATTTTCATTGGTTTGCCTTTGAACCTTTAATTTAACACGTACTCCGTAATCCGTATTAACCGTGCTTGCCCATAACCAGAGTCCAGAGACAGCTACATTCGTGTTTTAGATTTGAATTTCGTATTCTACATTTGCACTTATCTTCAGTTTATATATCCATAAATTTGGTTGCTTGGGTAACAAAGAAACAATGATCAGTGGCGCTAGAATGTCCTTTAAATAGCTTGTTCGTTCAGTCTAGAACATATATGCTTAGTTACTCGCTGAGAGTTTGTCATGATGGATGAGGAATTTGGGCTCAAAGAGGATATTGGGCTGTCCGAAGATGCAAGAATTGGGCCAACTAGGAGAAGCAGAAGAACTAAAAGATCACCACAAAGGCTTTTGGGCTATATCTGGGATCCGGGCTGACGGGTCGGGTGCATTGTAATAAATAGTTAAATAGGAAAATAGCACCAGTAGTAGAGTACGCTGAATATTGTTAGAATTTCCCCTCTCTAGTCTCTCTGTCCCTCGTCTATTTCTCTCCGTGACTCTGCCTCTCACCCTATCTTTCTTTCTGTTACTATTTCCTTTGTTTATGACCCTATCCTTTGCATTTCCATTGTAATTAGTTTATGGAAGTTTAATCAAGGAATCGTTTCCTGTATGTGTTGAATTGAGTTCATAATATTGGTGCTTTCATTGATTTGGACTTTATGGATCTCTACTCTTCTACTATTATCAACTATCACCTCGACGCCATCCAGGGATTGATGATGGCGATGATGGACAATAACAATCGTATGCTGAGAATTCTCGACAACATTAAGAACAAGCATTCTGCCTCTTCCAAGACGATCCCCGAAACTTCTGTACATCAGGATGTGGTTGTGTCTTTGGACCATAATTGCGCACCAGAGGATATATCAACAACAGAGGTTGACTCTGATTTGTATAATGGACGTTCCAGCCCTGCGGATGATTCCGAATTACTTATTGAGATGGTGTAAACTAAAAATGACGAGGAGGAAAATTCAGAAAGCTATGCCTGCAAGGTGTTTGCTGAAATACCCAATTGGAAAATTGACATGAAAGTTGAAGATTCAGTGAAGAATGATTCAGCCTAAACCTGAAACCCAGGTGTTTGACAAAATATTTCAAATAATTTCTGCAGTAAAGTGCGATTACAGTGACCATGTCATAATTGACGATCAACTAGCACTGCCTTTTGTGCTTTCTGCTCGCAGTCACGCCTAACGTCACGACAAAGGTACATTTGATTACTTAAGTGGACTCGATCATACTAGACTTATCTTATCCTTGCATCAATTTACACTTGATCAATTCGGATTTGAGTTCCCATTTGATCCTGGCTCTAGTTTGCTTACCATATTTCTTAGAGTTACAAGAAATTGTGCTATTTATTCTGCTTCGAGCGACTTGGGTCTTGATAAGTTAATAACGTCAACCTTGTGGAATTCTTGCATTACACCCTTGAAACTTCAGATGTGAAATACTGTTGGTGCATACAATTGGGTGGATACAAACTGTGCGGGTAAAAATGTTTTCATAAAAAATGTTATGGGTGGTTATTATGCTAAGCATTCCATTACTGTTGAAATTCTTAGGAAACTTATGCAGATACGTGTATGCAACATCACTTTTTGGGCTATTATCAAGTTCGGTCTTGTGTTGGATAGTAATTGTCCCTCTACTGTCCAATTCCTTATTGGCACAAGGAAAAAGGTGGGTTGCACTATTATAAACATGGATGTGAATGCTCCATTTGGTGTCACAAATGTTATTTTACAACTTGCAAGTGGACTTGTTATTTTCGATGTCGTTATTCTAGTTCTTCGATTTGAAGTCGTTTCTAGTAAATTCAGCGACCCAACAGATACTAGTGTAATTATAGCTTTAGATGAAACTTTCAGTGATATTTCTGTTTTTGGAGGTATGGCTTTTCTTGTTCGAGGTTCTTATGCGTACCACTATTACATCTATGAAGGACTTGATGATTCGGGGTGGAACTGTGCTTATGAGTACATCCAAATACTTACTACATGGTTCACAATGCAAAGTTACATTTCGATTGATATCCTACCACATGGGAAAATCCAACAGGCATTTGTAGAGATTGGCAACAAGGACCCTTTATTTATAAGGTCATGTGAATAGAGTGGAGCAAGTGAACTCAATCTTGTTTTAGATAAGCTGAATGGTTGTAAAATCATTAACGTAATAATTGTAGTTCCAACAGGGGAAGGGTAGCTACTGCTTGTGGATATGATTGGATATAAGAATATCGAACAAGCTGATGAAACTGGGCAAAAAATAAAGATGTGGGATGCACAAATCTATCAAGGAAACATTACACCACAAAGGGTGGTTTTATCCATTCATGATGATGACTTTTCTATACCATTCCAAGACAAGTTAATAATATTCTTACAAGGTTCTTTTGAAGATACCAACTACAAAGTTCTTATGATATAGTGCACCAACCCATATAGTGAGGGAGATAAAGAAAATCTTCTCGTTTCTACGATTAACGAAGCTAAAAGATTCTATTCCTTGTTTGGCCTTAGAGCAATTGTTGCTCTAATAATCTCTGGTCATATTATGACGTACTTCTATACTATGAGATCAATCTAGGATCTTGGAGTTGATGGTTTGAAGATCTATTTGTTTGACCCTTGCAAAGAATTGGCCTACATTTCTTGGGGTGAGGCTGCCAAGGTTAAAGGGAAGGTAACAATTGGAGTTGTCTGCAATCCACTACAAGATCATGAAGGAGATCTTGCTTCCTATTTGACTCTTCATAAGCTCACCACTATGATATCAATGTTGCTCTACTCGAACCTTGATGACAAGGTTCTTATTGAGGATGGGGGTAATGTCATGATGGATGAGAAATTTGGGCTTAAAGAGGATATTGGGATGTCCGAAGATGCAAGAATTAGGCCAGCTAGGAGAAGCAGAAGAACTAAAAGATCACCACAAAGGCTTTTGGATTATATCTGGGATCTGGGCTGATGGGTCGGGTACATTATAATGAATAATTAAATAGGAAAATAGCACCAGTAGTAGAGTACGCTGAATATTGTTAGAACTTCCCCTCTCTAGTCTCTCTTTCCCTTGTCTATTTCTCTGTGTGACTCTGCCTCTCACCCTATTTTTCTTTCTGTTACTATTTCCTTAGTTTATGACCCTATCATTTGCATTTCCATTGTAATTAGTTTATGGAAGTTTAATCAAGGAATTGTTTCCTGTATGTGTTGAGTTGAGTTCATAACAGAGTTCTTTGTAACTTTTGTTAGATTTGCATGCAGATTGTAACCTTATAATTTTGCCAGTTAAGATTTGTATTTATTGCATCACAATTTGATCTCACCAATACTGGATACTACTTGTATATTCATCGACTTACTAAAGAAATAAAGAAAGGAAATCATCCAAAACCCTGCGCATCGGGCGAGGGTAATGGTGGATGCCCTAAACAGGGCCTTGGCAACCTTTGGCCCAAGCCTATGGAAAGCGATGACAAGCAATGGCAACATGCAACTCAGTCTGGACCCACCAATGCTCAACACCCTCATCTCCCAAGCGTTCCAGTCAATCCCCTTCTTCCCAGACTCGGGAATGGAGGACCCAGCAACGTCTCCAGTGTTTGTGACTATCGAGCCCCAATCCCATCAAACTCCATCACCTTCTGCTCCAGTAGAGAAGAACCAGTCCCCACCACTGGGAAACATCACAAGGGAGATCGACAAATCCCTAGAGCTTCTGAAAAGGAAAAGCCCACCGAAAATGGAAGGAACAACCAATAGCCTCTACGTAGAGACTCTCTCCTACTGGACTCAGTCATAGCAATCGAGCTTAGTGTAGAGAGTAGCGAAGTGCTTGTGATATTGTGTCCCATAGCCACGACCAAGTGTAGTCTGAGCCTGGTCTCTCACCACACCCAGGGTGTGATCAAATCACTGCTCAATCTGACCCCAGTCCTAAGCATGAAGAAAAGGAACCAAAAGAAACCAATGAGGTCTCCTCAGGGAATGGAGAAGCCTCACAGAAACAAGTCCCCCAACCGCTAACCACCCTTGATGAACTACATCATATGGAATGTTAGGGTGGAAACAACGCGGAGTTCAGGAGACACTGCCTCGACATGGTTCAGCTTCACTAGCCAGCACTGCTTGTTATGTTAGAAACTAAGATAGTTGATCATAAAAAGCTGACGAAGGAACTACACTTTGATATGCTTATCCAGTCTCCGGCAGTAGGGTTGTCTAGTGGAATAGTTATGATGCGGAAGGAGGACTGTGTCACTGTTGATGAGGTATCTACTAACCCTCAGGGCATCCATGCCATGGTGAGGGTACTCCCATATCACACTCCTAGGTTATTTTCAGTCATTTATGCTAGCAACGTATTAGCTGATAGAAAATTGTTATGGGAAAGTCTGGTTACTATCTCTAAAATCAATACTAGGAACTGGTTTGTAGGTGGAGACTTCAATGAAGTCTTAAAATCTAGGGATAAATTTTGTGGTAACCCCATTAACTCAAGTCGTACCAACCTATTTTGGAACTGCCTTAATGAATGCAAACTAGTTGACTTAGGTTACAAAGGCAGTAAATTCACCTGGACCAACAAAAGATACAAAAATAGGAGTAGTCTAATATTAGAAAGGATAGATAGGTGATTTGCTAACGACTGTTGGATTTCTCAGTACCCTGAGGCTACTGTTAATCATCTCCCTAGGACACACTCAGATCACTGCCCTATTCAAATAATGCTAAAGGGTGTTTTTTTCAATAATTCTAACAGAACCTTTAGGTTTGAATCAATGTGGACTAGCCACCCCTCCTTCCCTGATATCATCAATGAGGCCTTCACTAATAACTCCCCCCTAATCCAATCAACTGAAACCTTCAAAAGCCTTGTGACCCAGTAGAACATGCACGCATTTGGTAACATCTTCCATAAAAGTGAAGGATCCTGGCCAGAATTGCTGGGATCTAAAAATTACCAAATTACCAGTTCAACAATTACCTGCTAAATCTGGAAAGTAACCTGATCAGAGAGCTTGACTCCATCCTCAAGAATGAGGAAGACTTCTGGAAACTCAAGTCAAGGGTCAATTGGCTAACTGAAGCTGATGCCAATACTAGATTTTTCCATACTTCCACCCATAATAGGAGAAGAAGGAACATGATCTTGTCACTCAAAGAGGACAGTGGAAACCGGCTCCATGACCAAGGGGACATTAGGGCCTCTATAATGCATTTCTTCAGAAGCCTCTACACTTCCTCTCACACACAAGCTCCTATTTCCACTACCAGTCATCTGGACATGACCCATATCCTCTCATACTGTCAAAGAGACAGCTTGGATAGGCCCCTTGAGGTGAGTGAAATCAAAATGGCCATCTTCTCCTTTAAGCCTTTCAAGGCACCATGTCCGGATGGGCTTCACCCATTTTTTACCAAAGGTACTGGAGCATTATGGGGAACTCAGTAGTTGACTTCTGCAAGTTATACTTTGACATATACTCCATGGATCAGACCATGAACCAAACTCTCCGCTGTCTCATTCCCAAGTGTCCCCAAGCCTATATGCTCAAAAACTTCAGACCAATAGGGCTTTGTAACACCATCTACAAGACCATCACTAAGATCATTGTCAATAGGATAAAGCCCTTTCTATTTGCTATAATTGGCCCTAGCCAGGCTAGATTCCTATCCAATAGAAGGGCATCTGATAATGACATCATTTTCCAGGAATACATCACCCATTTTGGAAAAATGAAAGGGAACCAGGCTCATATGATTCTCAAAATTGACTCAGAGAAAACTTTTGACTGACTGGAGTGGTCCTTCATTAAGGACACACTGCATGCATTCAACTTCTTTCCTGGGTTAACTAAATTAATCATGTCTTGCATTAACTCATCAAACATCTCCATCCTAGTGAATGGGGGCAAAACAAACACCTTCAAGCTTTCTAGGGGCATCAGACAAGGGGGTCCAATCTCCCATTACCTGTTCATTCTATATATGGAGAGGCTCTCCAGGTCAATTGATAAAGCTATCCAGGACAAACAATGGCTCCTTATCAGTGTCTGGCTCAAAACTTTCTCACATCTTCTTTGCTGATGACCTTACTCTCTTTGCAAAAGCAAATACTAGGAACTACACTGCAATCTACTCTATCTTGCAGGTCTTCAATGGGGTTTCTGAAAAAAAAAATCAATCTCACCAAGTCCAGGGTTCTCTTCTCCTCCAACACAAAGCATGATACAATGGAATGCCTAACAAATACCCCGTCAATCCAAGATACTACATCCTTTGTGAAATACCTAGGATTCCCTATGTTCCATATGAGGCCTACTAGTACTGACTTCCAATTCATAATAGACTATATGCAATCCAAACTGGCTGGCTGGAAGATAAATTGTCTAAATATGACTGGAAGAATCATCCTTTCTAAGGCCTCCCTCAGTAGTATCCCAAGCCATGTTATGCAATACATCAAATTTTCCACCAAGACTACCAAACAAATTGATAGAATTCAGAGGAATTTTATATGAGGCACAACTCCAAACAAGAAAAAATTGTACCTGGTTAGCTGGGACAAAGTCACTAGACAGAAGTCTCATGGTGGGCTGAGTTTGTAGAAAGCTGAGCTTAAAAATAAATCCACCCATGCTAGGATGGCTTGGAGGATTTACCATAATACCTCCAGCTTACGGGCTAGAGTCCTGATCTCTAAGCATTGTAACTGGAACCATACCCATAAGAAGCCAAAATCTCCAATCTGGCAATGTATCCTCAAAGCTTGGGATACATGCAATAAAGCCAGTAGATGGGTTGTCCACAAGGGAAACATGGTGAGTTTCATCAATGATGCATGGATCCCAAACTAACCAGCAATTAGGGACATTATTGAGGGCCCTTTAACTCCTAATGACATAACTATCAAAGTGGATACTGTCTACAATTTCGGGAATTAGGATATCTCATCCATCTCTATAGACATCCCTGAAAATATTACTAACCTGATCAAATCAACTTGCATCCCTACTAACTATGTCAAGGAAGACATGCTAATATGGGGGTTGACTCCAAATGGGTCTTTCACCACCAAATCAGCATATACCTTCCTTAGCAGTAATAAAGAGATTTTGTGGAAAGGGGAGGAAGATAACTTAAATTGGATATGGAATTTAAAAGTTTTTAACAAAATCAAAAACTTTATCTAGCTACTTGTCCAAGATAGGCTACCTACTAGAGCTTTTCTACACAAAATTGGGGTTAATTGCAACCCTCAATGCTGTTTTTGCTCAGCATATCCTGAAACTAGTGACCACATCTTCTTTGAATGCACCAATGTAATCCACTTCTAGTATGAAATACTAGCCAATTGATCTACTGAAAGTCAGCAACTGAATCCCATATTCTCAGCTCAGCTCTGGCCAATAACATGGAACAAGCTAAAGAAGCTTTCTTTTAACAATATTATCCCATGGGAGAACATCATTCCTTTTTGCTTTTGGCATATCTGGCTAGAAAAAAAATCATAACCTTTTCAATAATAAAAGATAACATCTCAGCAAATAACACCATCTCCAAAGCAATAGAGTATTATATGTTGGCACAAAAAGGTACTATCAGGATGCCATTCCATACTAGAGCTAAATGGAAACCCCCTAGGATGGGGCACTATAAACTCAATACAGATGGGGTTGCCAAGGGCAATCCAGGCATTGGGGAAATTGGTGGAGTATTCATGAATCATAGAGGGGATTGGATTATGGGGTATATGAAAAATATACCACATACCACCAACACCATGGCAGAACTAAAATCACTGATAAAAGGCCTCCAATTAGCAGAACAAAATGGCTGAGTTCCACTAGACATAGCTACAGATTCGGCTGAAGTAATAAAAATACTACTCACAGGCAATACAACTTACGATTATATGATTTGTGAATGCAGCTTATTAATGCAAAGGATGGACAAGATGATCGTGAGACACAACTATAGGGAACATAATAGGGGTGGTCGATGCACTGGCAAAGGAGACAACAAATTTAATTTTTTTGGGTAGAACTACCATGCTAAGAGTTCCTCCGATATTTACAAATGATGTATTTTGGGCAGACATTCTAGGAACTGAAGTAGGATTTTTTGGGCATGCAACATTGATACAGTTGAACAAAATATGGCCGTCTNATATATATATCCCTTTAACAAAAAAAAAAGTACATCATGACCCTAGAAATTCTTTAGAACACAAATTCTTTTTCCAAGTCATCGGCACCTAGGTAATCAAAGATGCGAGTAAGTATGAATGTGAATACTCTTAATAAAAACTACCTAAGTAGTACTTAATTAAGCTTTAATACTATCACGTTTAATTGAGTAGTACTATTAAAGCAAGTGTCGCGGACCTATAAGTTGCCTCTGACTCATTACTTAATGGACCCAGTTTGGCCCTGACTGGACCACTTAACATGTCTAGTGTAAGTTTTTTTTTTATTTAAATTTTTTAATTTTTTTTTTAGTGTAAGCTTGCACACTTGTGAGCTGTGATAAAAAGAATCTACTCCCTCTGCTTCAATTTTAGCTATTCACTTTTGATTTTGCATTCTCTAAGAAAAAATAATTGAAGTATGTATTTTACAATTTTACCCATAATAATGATAGAATTTCAAAAGATCTTGGGATTATTTGGGAAGTAAGTAATTAATGATAAGGGTAAAACAAGAAAATAATATTATTTTTCTCTCAATTTGCTAAAATGGACAAGTAAAAGTGAATATGTATTTTTAGTATAATGGATAAGTAAAAGTGAACGGAGAGAGTACTTGTCATTGAAGTTTGCACCATTAATGCTAATTATGAATTAAAGTACACACTTGAAGGTTGTACAAAACCATTAGAATCCGAGCGTTTCCAGGGATGGATTTTGTGAAAGCTATATTGGAAATATGCTGATTTGGAGTTGGGGTCTGGTGATCGGATACCTTTTGTTCATCCACTTCCAGCTCAATGATGTTAAGGTGCTACATCCTTTGCTCTAATTCTGCCTTTGTTAGTACTGTTTTTTTAATTTTTTTGCAGTGTTTATCTCGGTACTAGGATAGGCATGTGTTATATTTGCATGAATAGTTTCTCTTTTTACTCGTTTAATGTTTCATTAGGCACTTGCTCTTGGTTTGTAGTGTTCATTGCTTTACTAAAGGTTTCACTTAACTATTTATATTACTGAAGGCTGAAGCGATTATCACTTGTGGAGTGTAATATCTTCTTAAACCAGGAGATATTGGGGTTTGTTGATATAAGTCCTTACGATTATGTTTACAACAAAAGGATTAACAAGAAGTAATATCTCATTGGTTCAAATAATGGTCAGATTCTAGTTGAGCTGCAATAGAGAACCGCTTCATGATCTAATTAACAGCAACTATGCAAGTTCTATGCCTGAATAATCAAGAATTGGAGAAAGATGAGAGAGTTTGGTTGAACATTTCCTATTTGTTAGTGCAAAAGATTTTTCTTAAAGAAAATTATTCTATTTTGTGGAGAAAAATCAAATCAAGGGATCAACAAACTGCTTATGGTTGTTAAATCTAAAAAGCAAAATTTTGGGCAGAACCGCAGAAGATATCACAAGGAGGAAACTGCACCTTTTATCGGTCAATCAAGCAGTCTTTGGACTCCATTAGAGGAAAATTAAAAGAAATAAAATGCATAAAAGGTTCAGCTAACTGAAAATAGGTCTCCCATAATTCCATCCATTTAATGATAATCAACAGAACTATAGCTTTAAGAATGAAGGACAAATTAATATCTAAGGAAATTAACCAAAAGAAAAAAGAAAAAGAAAGAAAATCAATCAACAAGAGAAAAAACCACCGCTATGTTACTGGCGAACATAACATCACGGCTATTTACATTGGATGAAATTAGATAAGAGACATCTTTGTTGAGACTAAATGACTGGAGAAAATCTGAAGTTTGAAAAGCATCTAATATGATTCTTACCAACCTTTGCCTATAAGCCACAACCAGTCTAGAGTTACACCAGCAAATATGCCTCCTAAAAGAAACAACACTAGAAGATTTCCCAGTGCATTCTGCTCTGGTCCCTATAAGATCATAAGTCCAAAAACTTTGCTATTAATCACTGTATGATATACAAGAATGTAGTAGCTTTAAAGATAACTAGTTAGAGAATTAACAAACCTTGTAACCTTTTGGTGCAGAAGTGAGGACACAGACTGTGAGGTAGCCATTACTTAGTCCCAAGAAGGATGTGAGCATAATCATCCAACCCTGATCACCATATTTGGCTGTGAAGTAGAAGGCAGGGATAAGTAGGAAACGCGAGAGAATCACCAACATGAGTCCTTTCCGCGATTCCAGTTTTAAGCATTTGATTAGTGGCACGTATCTTCCTATGAGATCCCACACGTTATACATCGCAATAAGGACAAGTGCATACCTAAATATCACGATGGATTGAAAATAGATACAAATGTTAAAATGAGTTTCATGCAAATATTAGACAGTAAATGAGTCATTGCACATTTATCAAGTACAATAGCTTGAACTGAGTGGGAAACCAACCATGATCCTAAGCTGTGAGATCCAGTATCCTCAGACAAGAATCCCGGGAAAATTGACAATGTTAGAGCGTATATGAGAAACAAATCTATTGCGTAGTCTATGTTCTGCAATAACAATTGTTTGTTGTTAAGTCGCTCCACATGTTCAGGACCATGCTTACTCTACAATGGAGTTAACACAAGATCAAAAGTGTTAGCACCGTGTTGATAGCACTAAACACAAGGTACAATGCCCAATAGATTTCAGAAAAGTAAAATACCTTTGTTTCTGATCCTTCTTGCTTGTAAACTCCCCCTGCAGCAAGGTCACCAGCAACAGTCTTTGATCCCTCTGAAGCTGCTTTTGCACGATAGTACTTCACTATCGGCAGCTTTGGGAAGACAAATGCATATAGGAGGACACAAAGCAGCTCAAAGAATGTAGATACAGAGAAGAACAGAACTGCAGCAGATAGTTGTAGAATATTTATGATGCTTATTAGGGGATAGAGAACACATAGCATGTTACAATCTAAAGGTCCAAAATCTTAACAAACGGTAGAAATCAATTTACTGGAGGAAATGAGTAGATGATCGAAATGCTGGCAATAGACTGAATCTGTGGTGATTCAAAATAATATTAACGGCAGCTAGCAGAATATAAGCACACGTCTGTCTTTAGAAATTTGGATCATTTGCAACAAGCAAAATAGATTTAAAAGAAAAAACCTATAATTGTATCAAGATAAGAATAAGACATACTTGCACCATTTCGAAGACCATCCTTTGAATTCTCGAATGCTGCTTTGGTAATTAACCTCAACACGGATGTTAGAGCGCCAGATGCAGCCAGTCCGGCGAGGAAAGACTGAAAATCTCACACCAGAATAACCTTTTTTGGACAATTCTTAAAATCGTAGCACGAATAAAGGATTGCAAAAGGTGAAATATATCAGTAGGTAGAAAATAAACCTGCATGAATTCAGGTAACATATATGCAAGGTCCCCAATCATTCCACCTTGAACATGGGCATCTGCAACTCCAAAGGCACCACTGATAGCACATATTCCAATAAAAGTTCCTAGCCCTCCCTTACCAGATGTAGCTAAATCCAACTGCCAATTCATGGAACACATAAACCAAATTAGATCGTTCATGGTTATGACACTCTATTACCTTAATGAAGATAAAGTCAACTATCATTATACTCGATAATTAAGACAAAACAGATATAGTACTTACAACAAGAACTAAGAGAGTACTGATGAAGAAAAGACTATATCCAAAAAGATTTCTTTTCCTCGTATTCATTTTCGCCTCATTGTAAGCCAGTATTGCAAGTGTTCCTAGTGCAAATGGCTGATAAATGAGGGTAAGGACCCTGGAGGGGTGGTAATCCTGTGTAAAAACCAAATCTCAATAAAATTAAATGCCAAAACTTAATGTTTAGGTAACCACAGGCAGTGTCATAAAAATCTAAATGGAACATGGATGACAAATTGACAAAAGATATTCATTCTAGTACGAAGCACCAAACCGTATTCCAGTATTATGGCACATGAAAAATCTTGACTAAGAACAAGAGGACAAATTAAATAACTAACAACAACAACAACTCCGACTCAATCCCAAGGAAGTTGGTGTCGGCTAAAAATACATGGTTTTATTACTCCTAAGTTCATAGTGGTTGTTGTCCTAAACTCGAGAAGAACTCTGATGCACAAACAAGATTAAATACTCCACTATGTTGAATGCTCAGAAAAGTTAAGCTAAATTTGTGCTTGGCTTACTTGTTGATCTTAGCAAATTCAAATTGTTACTGAGTAATACGAGTAAGTCAACATACAGAGTTTTGGAATAAGTTAACTGTAAATAAATTCCATAATTAGAAGATACAATTTGATAGGACTAAAGGTTACCGGAAATAGGTAGACATAATAGTCCTCAATAGTTAACATACTATTCCAAGAAAAGAGGCATCCATTGCCCAAAAGCCAACACACTAGCATTGCAGCATACTTGCCCTGCAAAATTTTACCGAAGTTGTAGTTAAGTAACTTAATACAAGAAACAGAGAATTCATTTTCAGTCACATGTTACCAAATACAGTTGTAAAGAGAAAACCACGAACCTCAAGCCTAACTGGAACTTTATTATCCTCAGCCATTGGGGGATAGTATTATGAAGAGCTTCTTGTAGCTAATAACAACATTAAGACATAATCATGAACTATTCAGAAGAAATAGTTGTAAGTGATAAAATTTCTTTAAGTAAAATTTGTCAAGTTATGAAAGAAGGTTTATAAGGAAACCTCCTAAACCAAAAACATATTGGCAGAAATCTAAAAAGAAAAGGGAGGCCCCTCGGTGAGAGAGTGGGGCGAAGAAAACATTCTCATACATACGACACTATACACAACGTAATACATATACCATAGACATCAAAGCAAAACATCTCCCACCATTTGTATAACAGAGAGAGAGAATGGGGCTTTACCGAACAAGAAGGGGTGGAAATTGGAAGAGAGGAGTTGACTTGAGCAAAATAGAGAGTTCGTTGGTTTTATTTACGTAACCACGCCGTAGGATTCGGAGACTGCGTTGGCACAGATGGCGCTGCTGCTATTTACTTTTTAGTCGGTGTAAAAAAGAATGACCTCTTTTTTTATTTGGAAACAATTTATTTTTGTGCAATGATTTATAGCCATACAAAATATACGTGACTCATTTTTACACTACAAGTTTAAAAGTCTTCTCTTCTCTTTTTTCTTAAACTCCGTGCCCAGTCAAATGAGTTCACATAAATTAAAACGGAGGGAGTATTTAAGTATAGCAAAGAGCAAATAAAGCGGATCACATATTAGTCTCCTATTCCATTTCATAAGCAAATGGCTACCTTTTAATAATGTAAATCAATTCATTATAACGTAAAATAGAAATTCTAAAGATAAATAATTTCTAAATAAGTAAAAGTGATATTTTTTTGGAAAGAAAAAAGTGTGGACCGAGAGAATACATAAAATCAAAATCCAATTTATGTACTAACGAATTTGAATTAGAAAACTAGCAGTAAGTAAACGTATCTCGCAGTCGAGAAAAAAGAAAAAGAAGCAAAAGGGAATAATTGATCTTACTGTAAAATCTGAGGACTCTTTTCCCCAGATCGACCAATAGGAGGGAGGTTTCGACTTAGGTTGTGATGTTGGAAACAACAAAACCCAAACGGAGGGTCACTTTAGCGAATAATTGGTGATTGGAGAGGTGATGGATTCAACGTTGTTATTGGTGCAAAAGATTGGGGGAAAAAACAAGGGAAGTTGTAGGTTTTTTTTCTTTTGTCGCTGAAATAAAAGGTGCAACCGTGCAAGCATAAAAGTGTCTTGTGAGTCGAAATGTAAATTCTTGAAAGGATGTTCTTCATTGAAAAAGATAATAACAAAATAATTCCAAATGTTAAAAGGGTTAAATTTCAAGATTTTAAGTTACGACGGTGATATATATTTCACTCATTCAATATTGTATACGGTCAAAATCGAGCATGTCTTTCACGTGACACATCGAGAGTAGAACATGACTGTGCAAAGTTCGACCTCGTGTAATATCGAGCCATAATGCAAAATTCGATTGTCGAGCTCGTGACCCGGAGACCAATCAAGATAGAGATCGGCCAAGATTGAGGAGAGCTTATCGAGCCAAAAAACAGAAAGTCGAAATATCCGCAATTGGGCGAGAATCTCGGCAGAAATCTCGGCGCATATCAAGGAGAGGCCAATTAATTAATCTATTATGGATTCCTTGCTATGTTTAGAAATTATATTAAGAATATGACTTCCCTACTATATAAATGGAGTCTAATAATTTGTAGAAGGCATTCATTGATAGAATATAAAGCAATATACTGTATTTTCTTCTGGTTTTCAATATTCAGTCATTTTGTTCTTGTATCAGTTTACCCTCCATTCAGTTTGAGGGTGATCAAACTTGAGGGCCTAGGCTAATTGATTCATTCGGTTTGCATTTATTTCGTTTACAGCTAATTTCGATACCAATATTTATCTTTTCTCTATTTGTACAAGCTATAAATCACGTATCCTTAAAATCACATACAAATTCAATTGTTATCCATTTTTCGAGTAAATTGTTTGGCGCCCACCGTGGGGCTAAGGATAATAGTGGTTATTTGGTACAAATCTCTATAAAATAGATAATTTTACACTTGCTCTTTGAAGTATCTTTGATTTCAGGATAAAGATGACGAACTCTCAATTACTACCCGTGCATATCGACAACGGATGTGGCTATAAAGGTGAGAATAACAACGTGACGCCCGGTGACGTAAGGTCACCCGCTGAACCCGTTGGGACTCGGGTCGTGGATCCAATTGACGTTAATTCACATGTGGCCATCGACGCGAACCAGCATACTGGTCCCGAAAACAGCGTCCATGGTGGAACCCGATCTGCAGCTCGAAATACCCAAAAAATCGGAGAAGACGGGATCAACCCACGAATGATCTTCGAAATGTTGCAAGCTCAACGGATGAAAATAGCTCAGTTGCAGAGACAAACTCAGGTACCGAGAAGGGCTGAGCCCGGTCTACCTCAAGAGGTCATCCACAGAATGGGGCCAACCGTGGTATGATCAAATGAACATGAATCGGGGACTAACCCCGAAATCATAAAAATGCTCGAGGAATTGACAAAGCAGATAAAGTCAGGAGAAAAGAAGATCGAAGCAAACGATAAAAAGGTCGAAACCTATAATTCCAGGGTAGACCAAATCCCTGGGGCGCCCCAGATACTGAAGGGACTGGATTCAAAAACGTTCGTGCAAAAGCCTTTTCCTCAGAGCGCGGCCCCAAAACCGATCCCTAAAAAATTTCGTATGCCCAAAATATCAAAGTACAATGGAACGACCAATCCAAACGAGCGTGTAACCTCTTATACGTGTGTTATCAAAGGGAACGACTTGGAAGATGATGAGATCGAGTCTGTTTTGCTGAAAAAATTTGGGGAGACCCTGTCAAAGAGAGCGATGATATGGTACCATAATTTACCACCTAACTCTATCGATTCTTTTGCCATGCTTGCAGATTCTTTTGTAAAAGTACACGTCGGAGCCATAAAGGTCAAGATTAGGAAGTCAGATCTTTTCAAGGTAAAGCAGAAAGATAACGAGATGCTCAGAGAGTTTGTGTCTCATTTTCAAATAGAATGAATGGATCTACCACCGGTCACAGATGATTGAGCCGTTCAAGATTTTACTCAAGGACTAAATGAATGGAGCTCAGTGGCTTCACAACAGTTGAAACATAACTTGATTGAGTACGCGGCTGTTACCTGGGCCGATGTGCATAATCGATATCAATCGAAGATTAGAGTCGAAGACGACCAGTTGGGGGCTCCATCCGGGTCTGTTTATCCTATTAGACCCATTGACAGAACCAAAAGGGATATTGATCGGGAGCCAAGATTGAATAGGAATCGATACCAGCCATATAACGAAGATCATAGGGGCAACGGATCCGGGCGCAACCCTGTACGAGGTGAAAGGAGAAATGATCGAGGCCAGAGCTCTCGAAGGCTCATGAGCAAGAATAGTTTCGATCGGCAGATCAGACCTAAAGAAGCACCACGATTGTCAGAATATAACTTCAATGTTGATGCACCCGCTATCGTATCGGCTATCGGACGCATCAAAGATACTAAATGGCCTCGACCTCTACAGACTGATCCGTCCCGGAGAAATCCCAACCAAATGTGCAAGTATCATGGCACCCATGGCCACAAAACTGAAGATTACAGGCAGTTGAGAGAAGAAGTAGCCCGGTTATTCAATGAAGGGCATCTTCGAGAATTTCTAAGTGATCGGGCCATGAATCATTTCAATAGAAAGTTCAATAGATAAAACGATCTAGAAGAACCGCAACACGTTATTCACATGATTGTTGGAGGGATCGATGTTCCCCAAGGGCCAGTGCTAAAACGCACTAAGGTGCCAATCGTAAGCGAGAAACGATCTCGGACTCAAGATTACATACTGAAAGGAACCTTGTCCTTCAACGACAAAGACGCAGAAGGGATCATGCAGCCCCATAACGATGCGCTGGTAATATCTGTACTCATGAATAAGACTCAAGTTAAACGTGTGTTAATTGATCCAGGTAGTTCGTCCAATATCATTCGATCGAGGGTGGTAGAACAACTCGGCCTACAAGACCGGATTGTGCCCGCGGCCCTAGTGCTAAACGGATTCAACATGGCATGTGAAACTACTAAGGGCGAGATAACTTTGCTAGTAAAAGTGGCCGGGACCATCCAAGAGACGAAGTTCCATGTGATCGAGGGTGACATGAGGTATAACACCTTGTTCGGGAGACCATGGATCTACAACATGAGAGCAGTGCCCTTGACCCTTCACCAAGTTCTAAAATTTCCAACACCCGAGGGAATCAAAACAATCTACGGGAAGCAACCCGCCGCAAGAGAAATGTTTGCCATCGAAGAAGTGACCCCGATATCGTCACTCTCATCGACGAAGGAGTCAAATTCGAAGGGTAAACAGGAGGCCAAATAGCAATCACAAACGCCCGTCTCGACCCAACTAGAGAAGCAGGGGACTGACAAAGATGATGATTATGGGGTCCCTCTATCATTCATAGTCCCCGATGACTCCGACACTACCAAGTCAATGGTCGAAGTGCTAGAGAAAATCATACTAATCGAACATCTCCCCGAAGAAAAGGTATACCTGGGCACGGGGCTAAATCCTGAGCTCAGGAAAAAACTTATTCAGTTTCTTATAGCTAACATGGATTGTTTCGCTTGGTCCCATCTCGACATGACAGGGATCTCACCGGAAATCACCACCCGTAAACTAACCTTGGACCCGAAGTTCCATCTGGTAAAGCAGAAAAGAGACCCCAGTCTGAGGTCAAACATGCTTTCGTCAAAGACGAGGTAACCAAGCTTCTTAAAAAGGGTCTATCCGCGAGGTAAAATACCCCGAATGGTTAGCAAACGTAGTAGTAGTCCCTAAGAAAGGAAACAAACTTAGAATGTGCGTAGATTACAAAGATCTAAATAAAGCATGCCCCAATGATTCTTTTCCTTTGCCTAATATCGATCGCATGATCGATGCCACGGCCGGCCACGAGATCCTCAGTTTTCTATATTCCTATTTCGGGTACAACCAAATACAGATGAACCCTAATGATCAGGAAAAGACCTCATTCATCACTAAGTATGGTACCTACTGCTATAATGTAATGCCATTTGGATTAAAAAATGTTGGCGCCACTTATCAACGCATAGTAAATAGGATATTCGAAGAACAAATAGTGAAATCTATGGAAGTTTACATTGATGATATGTTGGTTAAATCCCTGCGAGCAGAGGACCATTTGAAACACTTGCAGGAAACTCTCAGTATATTGAAGAGATACAACATGAAGTTGAACCCGGAAAAATGAGCATTCGGGGTCGGGTCAGGAAAATTTCTCGGATTCATGGTATCCAACCGAGGAATCGAGATAAATCCCGACAAAATCAAAGCTATCAATGGCATCACGGTAGTAAACAGCGTAAAGGTCATACAGAGATTAACCGGACGCATGGCCGCCCTGGGGCGATTCATCTCGAGGTCCTCCGATAAGGGTCACCGATTTTTCTCGTTACTGAAGAAGGAAAATAACTTCACATGGACCCCGGAATGCTAGCATGCCTTGTAAGAGCTTAAACGATACTTATCGAGCCCACCACTGCTTCACACGCCAAAGGCGGACGAACAACATTACTTGTATTTGGCAGTATCGGAGGTAGCGGTAAGTGGAGTCCTGGTCTGAGAAGAACGAGGTACGCAATTTCCTATTTATTATGTCATCCGAACCTTAGGTGAGGCCGAAACTAGATATCCCCACCTAGAAAAATTGGCGTTCGCTTTGATAAGCGCCTCTAGAAAACTGAAACCATACTTTTAAAGTCACCCCATATGTGTTGTAACAACTTATCCACTTTGAAATATTTTGCATAAACCCGAGCTTTTGGTACGGTTGGCCAAATGTGTCGTACAAACCAGCGGGTATGATATCGAATATTGACCCCGAACAACAATTAAGTCTCAAATTTTGGCTGACTTCGTAGTTGACTTCACGCCGGCCCTAGTACCCGAGATTGAAAGAGAGCTATTGATAAACTCGGGTACGTCCTCAGGTATCTGGACCCTCTTCAGGGACGGTACTTCGAACGCAAGAGGGTTCGGACTCGGCATCGTACTAAAACCACCCACAGGCAACATGGTTAGACAATCTATTAGAACTGTGAAATTGACTAATAATGAGGCCGAATATGAGGCCATGATTGCATGGCTCGAACTGGCAAAA